CTCTGAGGTTGCCACATTAACACTTCAATTACGTATTAGACTTACTTGATATTTTTACATTAAAATATCTTTAGTTTAATGGACAACATTTTTTAAATAAGATATCGTATTAAACCTCAAATTTTCAAAAATCTGTTCTCAGGTGTGCATAGCATCTTCATTCTCCTTCATAAACCATGGATGGTTTCATTGATTGCAGATTAGGTAAGTACGGTTCGGTGATATCATTTTGTTTTTCTTATTTATTAGTATATAATTACTATGCAAATTAATTTTATAAAGCTTTATGCATCCACAGTATTTTTTATTTTAAAAGGTGTAAAGGGTGATGAATATGTATTTATTCCATTTCCATATGTATAGGTGTGGACTTCCAATGATGTGATATTACTATTATACAGCTGTTCACAAGTCTGAAATATAAATGCTGATATCCTTTCTCTGAGGTTGCCACATTAACACTTGAATTACGCGTTTGACTTACTTGATATTTTTTCTTTATTAATTTCTATAGTTTAATGGACAACATTTTTTGAATAAACTATCGTATTAAACCTCAAATTTTCTAAAATCTGTTCTCAGGTTTGCATAGCATGTTCATTCTCCTTCATAAACCATGGATGGTTTCATTGATTGCAAATTATGTAAGTACGGTTCGGTGATATCATTTTGTTTTTCTTGTTTATTAGTATATAATTACTATGCAAATTAATTTTATAAAGCTTTATGCATCCACAGTATTTTTAATTTTAAAAAGTGAAAGGCTGATGAATATGTATTTATTCCATTTCCATATGTAAAGGTGTGGACTTCCAATGATGTGATATTACTATTATACAGCTGTTCACAAGTCTGAAATCTAAGTGTTGATGCAGTTATTCTGAGGTTGTCACACTGATATTACTTATTTATGGTTGATTTACTCTAAATTTTTATAGATCACTTGAAAATCCTCAGTACTCAAACCATGTCCTGAAGATGACCCACATGTTTTTGTTACTTTGGCATAATAAAAAAACAAAAGAATGCTTTCTGAATATTTATCACCCATGATATGTAGAACAGTCTACTAGATTCCTTCTATATTTTTAAGCTGTTCGAATTTTTTTGTTTTAATGTTTTTTTTTTAGAATTACAATTTTATTGTAAACCTACAATTTTTTAAACATTATCGATTAATAGCTGTATTCCTGTTCTTTCCTTTTCTAAACATAGGTATGTCCCAACCTTTTTTATGAATTGATTAAGTAGATAGGGATTGCTTCGTGGTTTCCGTTTGTGACGGTAGATATCCAAAACTGATTTTTGTTTCGGCGAAATATAAGCTTCAGGTAGGGCGGCTTCTAACCCTCACTCCGTACCCTAGTATACTAGGGAGACTAGGACCTCTGTGCTTGTATAACTGCACTCCCACCCGAGGACTATACCTAAGGGAGGTGACTCTAGGGTGTGTAATGTATGTGACCTTAGTATATAATGTCGGGTTGAGAGTAGTGTGCTGTAATTAGTTTAGATTTGTGAGTGTCAGTGTACTGTTTCCCCAACCTGGTGGACCAGTGGCTATTTGAAATCTTATGACCAGGCGATGGTTCCGCCAACTACCTACACCTAGGAATTTAAGTCAATATGTTTTTATTCGGTTAGCAGACGTTTCGAACAAAACATATGTATAATCCTCAGAGCTATTGTTCGGAACTGTTGATGCCAGTTCTTGTGTCGACTTCCTAATGATAGCCCTGAGGATGAAAAATACATTGACTGAAATTCCTGACATTCTTATAATTGATCAGCTAACTAATTGCCCATCTCTAGAATTTTAATATGAACTAAGTTCTTTTGTGTACAGAAAAGTATTCAGTTTTCCATTTAATAATTTTTTTAAATTTATTACATTTGTTTGTGTACGCAAGTGCGCTTCCAATGATGTAAAATTTTGATAATTCAGCTGTTCACAAGCTGAAATATAAATGTTGATATCCTTTCTCTGAGGTTGCCACATTAACACTTGAATTACACGTCTGACTTACTTGATATTTTTACATTAAAATATCTTTAGTTTAATGGACAACATTTTTTGAATAAAATATCGTATTAAACCTCAAATTTTCAAAAATCTGTTTTCAGGTGTGCATAGCATCTTCATTCTTCTTCAGATACTATGGATGGTTTCATTGATTGCAAATTATGTAAGTACGGTTCGGTGATATCATTTTGTTTTTCTTATTTATTAGTATATAATTACTATGCAAATTAATTTTATAAAGCTTTATGCATCCACAGTATTTTTTATTTTAAAAGGTGTAAAGGGTGATGAATATGTATTTATTCCATTTCCATATGTATAGGTGTGGACTTCCAATGATGTGATATTACTATTATACAGCTGTTTACAAGTCTGAAATCTAAGTGTTGATGCAGTTATTCTGAGGTTGTCACACTGATATTACTTATTTATGGTTGATTTACTCTAAATTTTTATAGATCACTTGAAAATCCTCAGTACTCAAACCATGCCCTGAAGATGACCCACATGTTTTTGTTACTTTGGCATAATAAAAAAACAAAAGAATGCTTTCTGAATATTTATCACCCGTGATATGTAGAACAGTCTACTAGATTCCTTCTATTTTTTTAAGCTGTTAGAATTTTTTTGTTTTAATGGTTTTTTTTTTAGAATTACAATTTTATTGTAAACCTACAATTTTTTAAACATTATCGATTAATAGCTGTATTCCTGTTCTTTCCTTTTCTAAACATAGGTATGTAGCAACCTTTTTTATGAATTGATTAAGTAGATAGGGATTGCTTCGTGGTTTTCGTTTGTGACGGTAGATATCCAAAACTGATTTTTGTTTCGGCGAAATATTAGCTTCAGGTAGGGCGGCTTCTAACCCTCAATCCGTACCCTAGTATACTAGGGAGACTAGGACCTCTGTGCTTGTATACCTGCACTCCCATCCGAGGACTCTACCTAAGGGAGGTGACTCTAGGGTGTGTAATGTATGTGACCTTAGTATATAATGTCGGGGTGAGGGTTGTGTGCTGTAATTAGTGTAGACGTGTTAATGTCAGTGTACTGTTTCCCCAACCTGGTGGACCAGTGGCTATTTGCGATCTTATGACCAGGCGATGGTTCCGCCAACTACCTACACCAAGGAATTTAAGTCAATATGTTTTTATTCGGTTAGCAGACGTTTCGAACAAAACATATGTGTAATCCTCAGAGCTATTGTTCGGAACTGTTGATGCCAGTTCTTGTGTCGACTTCCTAATGATAGCCCTGAGGATGAAAAATACATTGACTGAAATTCCTGACATTCTTATAATTGATCAGCTAACTAATTGCCCATCTCTAGAATTTTAATATGAACTAAGTTCTTTTGTGTTCAGAAAAGTATTCAGTTTTCCATTTAATAATTTTTTTTAAATTTATTGCATTTGTTTGTGTAGGCAAGTGGACTTCCAATGATGTAAAACTTTTATAATACAGCTGTTCACAAGCTGAAATATAAACGTTGATATCGTTTCTCTGAGGTTGCCACATTAACACTTGAATTATATATTAGACTTACTTGATATTTTTACATTATAAATATCTTTAGTTTAATGGACAACATTTTTATAATAAAATATCGTATTAAACCTCACATTTTCAAAAATCTGTTCTCAGGTGTACATAGCATCTTCATTCTCCTTCAGATACTATGGATGGTTTCATTGATTGCAAATTATGTAAGTACGGTTCGGTGATATTATTTTGTTTTTCTTATTTATTAGTATATAATTACTATGCAAATTAATTTTATAAAGCTTTATGCATCCACAGTATTTTTAATTTTAAAAAGTGAAAGGCTGATGAATATGTATTTATTCCATTTGTGCGCTGTAATTAGTGTAGATGTGTTAATGTCAGTGCACTGTTCCCCAACCTAGTGGACCAGTGGCTATTTGCTATCTTATGACCAGGCGATGGTTCCACCAACTCCCTACACCAAAGAATTTAAGTCTATATATTTTAATTCGGTTAGCAGACTGTAGTAGACATCCCCCTGTATTTACACCATTAGTTGACATTGTGTGAGGGAATGAGAAGGTATATATAATATATAGGAATGTGAGGTAGCACTGTGAATTGTACTCAATTGTGCAGTGGACAAATTGCTCATTGGAAAATCTGACATCGATAAAGAATCCAAAAGAAGGAAAGGTCCGATCAGGTAGCTGGAAACAGATGGCGAGGGACGCCAAACACTTTAAGCCTGGACACCAACACAAGAAGAGGTCATCTGGGAAGAGAGGCTTACTACATTGAAGCTCAAGATTATCAAGCCGACCGTTCACTTATATATATTCATTTATTATCAGTTGTCAAAATAAATTATTTTATTATACCGGAGTGAATAGTCCTTTTATTTAGTTGTCCTATAGGCCTAACAATTGAAGAATAAACCAGGTGAGTCAATTCATTCAAAGTGTTTACTAAGTCCCACATTTCATATGTATATTCTTATTGTTTCTTCTCACACAGTGTCATAAAAGGTATTAGATTCCCGAATTCCCAATCACAGTTAAACACCCTCAAAAAGTCGATATCCAGTGCCGGGGTTTTGTTTTAAAGATTCACGAGTGTAAATAACCTCAAGCCCTGATATAAAAAGCGGAAGGCTATGCGCCTATTCCCTCCAAAACTGAATCATTTACATTTAACTTCCTGTAGGTTATTTACAATTGGCGCCGAACAGAAGTAAACTGTTGATTGGATCGCGGGAGATTTGTTAATATTTAATTAAAAAAAAAAAAGTTTGTTTATTCCGAAATTTTATAATGGCGTCGCGCAGAGACCACGCTAAACCGTGTGTAGGTTTCAAAAATATACATAACCGTTTTCCGAACACATATGAATTTTTCATATTTCTGTTTTTGCATAGAAATTATTAATGCCAAATAACCCAGTAGTTAGTGAAATTGTAAGGATAGATGAGATCGCTTTACAAACAAACATGGCTGAGATCACAAGTTGGTGCCAACCCCAAACAAATGAGCAGGTGACAGCCCAGCCAAATGATTTCATGGCAACCTTGTTGGCTGCATTCACATCACTAAAACAGGAATTAAGATCGGATTTAAAAACTTTTCACACATCGGTAAAACAGGAATTAAAATCAAATATAGAAAATTTTCACACATCGTTAAAACAGGAATTAAGATCGGACATACAAAACTTAAATAAGAAATCTGATTTGTTAATTGAAAAACTAGAGGAAACAATCACAAAGCCCAACCAAGAAGTTCAAAAGTGCATTAATAAAAATGACACAGTAGAGAAAAATGAATTAAAAACGAAGTTAAGCTATCAAACTGCCCTTTTTAATGAAACCAAGTCTAAAGATGTCACTATTATACAGAGCTCACCTATTCAAGATGGTGAACTACTAGGAAGTATTAATGATGAAAGTACTAAGGAAACTAAAGATGGAGAGGATCCTACAAATGTACAAAGTATTGAAAACATTGTAGTTGATAATAATCAAAATTTAGATGAAAGTTATATTAATGAAGAAATAAAGGAAACCACTGATGATGAAAAGGATTGTGAGAATACTGTTATTTGTGAAGAATCCATGGCCGAAATATTTAATGATAGTGAGGCATCCAAAGCTGAGAAAGAAGAGAACATTGATGAAGAAAAAGAAATATTAATTGAAAAGGAAGACGAGTCTAGGTGTGATGACATAAACCCTGATTTGCCAGTAATAGAAGAGACTGATCTTGACAATATAAGTGAAGATGAAAAAGGAGAAACTTTAACCGACATCACGACTAACGATAGACCTTCTAAGCCGAAGAACAAAGTTATAGACATCAGAGATCCAGAAGAAATTAAAGCTGATAAGGGACCTTACCGGATAAAACAAAAAATTGTCGTTATAGACCCAGGTTAGGAGAATGCTAAAATAAAACTTTTGGAAATTTGTGGTTACAAACTCGGGCTTGTCTTATGGATATAAAATAAAAAAATGAATAAGTAAAATAAATAATAGTAATAAACAAACTGGTTTAATAATAAATAACAGGGATTACTCCTAAATTCATTTCCATGGTAAATATAAGCTAGTTTCTTTGTTAAATTTTGTATTCACTTTTAATTAGCGGTAATAGAAATTAAATTATTACCTTAAACTATCCAGTAATTTTCTTGTACATATAAAACCGTTTATTCTGTTTATATTAGTATGTATCGTGACTTTGTAAATATTGTGTATTTTGTATATAAACATTTAAATATTTTCTTTTTTTCGCCGATACATCAGTGCAATTAGGAATGATTTTTAAGTATGCACATTAAAAATTCAAATGATCATTACACAAAAAAGTTCATTTCATCACGACCATATTTCTTAAATTTTGTTGTTCTCACTCGAACACAAAATTTATAAGTTAAACGGTAGGGATATGTAGTAGACATCCCCCTGTATTTACACCATTAGTTGACATTGTGTGAGGGAATGAGAAGGTATATATAATATATAGGAATGTGAGGTAGCACTGTGAATTGTACTCAATTGTGCAGTGGACAAATTGCTCATTGGAAAATCTGACATCGATAAAGAATCGAAAAGAAGGAAAGGTCCGATCAGGTAGCTGGAAACAGATGGCGAGGGACGCCAAACACTTTAAGCCTGGACACCAACACAAGAAGACGTCATCTGGGAAGAGAGGCTTACTACATTAAGCTCAAGATTATCAAGCCGACCGTTCACTTATATATATTCATTTATTATCAGTTGTCAAAATAAATTATTTTATTATACCGGAGTGAGTAGTCCTTTTATTTAGTTGTCCTATAGGCCTAACAATTGAAGAATAAACCAGGTGAGTCAATACATTCAAAGTGTTTACTAAGTCCCACATTTCATATATATATTCTTTATATCATCTCAAATCTCTGTTATCCGGTTGCCAGGCAACTAGCGGTGCTGTTACACACGCTTTAGCCTATTCCGCCACCCTGCCCCCTAAATTCATTCAAAGTGTTTACTAAGTCCCACATTTCATATATATATTCTTATTGTTTCTTCTCACACAGTGTCATAAAAGGTATTAGATTCCCGAATTCCCAATCACAGTTAAATACCCTCAAAAAGTCGATATCCAGTGCCGGGGTTTTGTTTTAAAGATTCACGAGTGTAAATAACCTCAAGCCCCGATATAAAAAGCGGAAGGCTATGCGCCTATTCCCGCCAAAACTGAATCATTTACATTTAACTTCCTGTAGGTTATTTACAAGACGTTTTGAACAAAACATATAGGTAATCCTAAGAGCTATTGTTCGGAACTGTTGATGCCAGTTCTTGTGTCGACTTCCTAATGATAGCCCTGAGGATGAAAAATATATTGACTGAAATTCCTGACATTCTTATAATTGATCAGCTAACTAATTGCCCATCTCTAGAATTTTAATATGAACTAGGTTCTTTTGTGTACAGAAAAGTATTCAGATTTCCATTTAATAATTTTTTTAAATTTATTACATTTGTTTGTGTACGCAAGTGGACTTCCAATGATGTAAAACTTTTATAATACAGCTGTTCACAAGCTGAAATATAAATGTTGATATCGTTTCTCTGAGGTTGCCACATTAACACTTGAATTACGTGTTTGACTTACTTGATATTTTTTCTTTATAAATTTCTTTAGTTTAATGGACAACATTTTTTTAATAAAATATCGTATTAAACCTCAAATTTTCAAAAATCTGTTCTCAGGTGTGCATAGCATCTTCATTCTCCTTCAGATAGTATGGATGGTTTCATTGATTGCAGATTAGATAAGTACTGTTCGGTGATATTATTTTGTTTTTCTTATTTGTTAGTATATAATTATTATGCAAATTAATTTTATAAAGCTTTATGCATCCACAGTATTTTTAATTTTAAAAAGTGAAAAGGGTGATTAATATGTATTTATTTCATTTCCATATGTACAGGTGTGGACTTCCAATGATGTGATATTACTATTATACACCTGTTCACAAGTCTGAAATCTAAGTGTTGATGTAGTTTTTCTGAGGTTGTCACACTGATATTACTTATTTATGGTTGATTTATGCTATATTTTTATAGATCACTTGAAAATCCTCAGTGCTCAAACCATGCACTGAAGATGACCCACATGTTTGGGTTGCTACTTTGGCAAAATAAAAAATAAAAAATTAAAAAACAAAAGACTACTTTCTGAATATTTATCACCCTTGATATGTAGAACAGTCTACTAACTTCCTTCTATATTTGTAAGCTGTTAGAATTTCTTCCTTCTAATGGTTAGCTGTTTTAGAATTACAATTTTTTTGTAAACCTGGATATCCATAGCTGATTTTTGTTTCGGCGAAGTATTAGCTTAAGGTAGGGCGGCTTCTAACCCTCACTCCGTAACCTAGTATACTAGGGAGACTACGACCTCTGTGCTTGTATAACTGCACTCCCACCCGAGGACTATACTTAGGGGAGGTGACTCTAGGGTGTGTAATGTATGTTACCTTAATATATAATGTCGGGGTGAGGGTTGTGTGCTGTAATTAGTGTAGACGTGTGAGTGTCAGTGTACTGTTTCCCCAACCTGGTGGACCAGTGGCTATTTGGCATTCTATAAACAGGCAATGGTTCCGCCAGCTACCTACACCAAGGAATTTAAGCCAATCTATTTTGATTCGGTTAGCAGATGTTTCAAAGAAAACATATGGGTAATCATCAGAGCTATTATTCGGAACTGTTGAAATGAGTTCTTTTGTCGACTTCCAAATGATAGCCCTGAGGATGAATAATATCATGACTGAAATTCCTGACATTCTTATAATTGATCAGTCTACTAATTGCCCATCTCTAGTATTTTAATATGAACTAAGTTTTTTTGTGTACAGAAAAGTATTCTATTTTCTATTTAATAATTTCTTTAAATTTATTGCATTTGTTTGTGTAGGCAAGTGGACTTCCGCTGATGTAAAACTTTTATAATACAGCTGTTCACAAGCTGAAATATAAATGTTGATATCGTTTCTCTGAGGTTGCCAGATTAACACTTGAATTACGTGTTTGACTTACTTGATATTATGGGGGGGAGGGCCCCAATATCAAATTCGACCGTATTTTCATAATAAGCTACCCCGAAAACATAATAGTCGACCCTGAAATCGATTATTCCAGAAAAGTTACAAAAAGTTGATGTGAGAGGGTGGGGGGGGGGCGCAATCTCAAATGTGACATTATTTTTATTATAAGCACCCCCGAAAACATAACAGTTGACCGGAAATTGATTATATCTGAAAAGTCTATCAGAATGATTATTTCACAACATTATTCCTGAAATAATCATTTCAGAAATCATGATTTCTGAAATAATTTATTCCCGAAATAATCATTTCGGAAATAATGGTCAGGTTATTTCATGAAATAAATTATTTCTGAAATAACTATCTAGTTTATTTAGGGATTTATTCCTGGAATATTTTTCAAATAAATTCTGCCCAGGTCTATTGTAATGTATGTGACCTTAATATATAATGTCGGGGTGAGGGTAGTGTGCTGTAATTAGTGTAGATGTGTAAATACTAGAGATGGGCTATTAGTAGACTGATCAATTAAAAGAATGCCAGGATTTTCAGTCATGATATTTTTCATCCCCAGGGCTCTCATTCGGAAGTCGACAAAAGAACTGGCTTCAACAGTTCCGAACAATAGCTCTGAGGATTACCCATATGTTTAGTTTGAAACGTCTGCTAACCGAATTAAAATTTATTGACTTAAATTTCTTGGTGTAGGTAGTTGGCGGAACCATTGCCTGGTCATAAGATCGCAAATAGCCAGTTTGTCCATCAGGTTGGGGAAACAGTACACTGACACTCACACATCTACACTAATTACAGCACACTACCCTCACCCCGACATTATATACTAAGGTCACATACATTACACACCCTAGAGTCATCTCCCCTAGGTAGTCCCCGGATGGGAGTGCAGGTATACAAGCACAGATCAGATGCCGTGGTCTCCCTAGTATACTAGGGTACGGAGTGAGGGTTAGAAGTCGCCTTACCTGAAGCTAATATTTCGCCGAAACAAAAATCAGCCTTGGATATCGACCGCCACAAACGGAAACAACCAAGCAACCCCTATCTACTTAATCACTTCATAAAAAAGGTTGAGACGTACCTATGTTTAGAAAAGGAAAGAACATGAACACAGCTGATAATCGATAATGTTTCAAAAATTGTAGGTTTACAATAAAATTGTAATTCTAAAACAGATAACCATTACAAAAAAGAAATTCTAACAGCATAAACATATAGAAGGAAGCTAGTGGACTGTTCTACATATCATGGGTGATAAATATTCAGAAAGCCGTCTTTTTTTTTTTAATTTTTAATTTCTTGTTATGCCAAAGTAGCAACCCAAACATGTGGGTCATCTTCAGGGCATCGTTTGAGGACTGAGGATTTTCAAGAGCTGTATTAAAATATAGAGTAAATCAACCATAAATAAGTAATATCAGTGTGACAACCTCAGAAAAACAACATCAACACTTAGATTTCAGACTTGTGAACAGCTTAATAGTAATACCACATCATTGGAAGTCCACACCTTTACATATGGAAATGGAATAAATACATATTCATCACCCTTTTCACCTTTTAAAACTAAAAATACTGTGGATGCATAAAGCTTTATAAAATTAATTTGCATAATAATTATATATTAACAAATAAGAAAAAGAAAATAATATCACCGAACAGTAATAACATAATTAGCAATCAATGAAACCATCCATAGTATCTGAAGGAGAATGAAGATGCTATGCACACCTGAGAACAGATTTTTGAAAATTTGAGGTTTAATACGATATTTTATTATAAAAATGTTGTCCATTAAACTAAAGATATTTTAAAGAA